ACCGGCTAATGATCCGCTAATCAGGAATGGGAAAAGAGCTCATTGAGCATTCGTACTAGCCATTGGCTAATCTATCCGACGGCTGTTTTCCACTGGGTGTACCGTACACTCGAATTGGACCAAAAATTCTTAAGTCCATTATCGGTGCAATAAAGAGCTAATGACCCAATGACGGGAATATATTTGCTGTGGCACCCATCTCTACGAAGACGCCGAAGGATAAGGAGTCATTAAGACAGCGTTATCTGGTCCAGATAGCATTGGCATGTCTACGCAGATCATTATTTTTGCCCCTGGAGCCGTTTGCCAAACGAGAAGAGCCGTGTGAGCAAAGCGGCCGCCGCTCAGAGTCGGCGGTCAGCTGCGGTGTGGAGGGGGAGCCACTAACGATACATGCCCTGGTAGCTAATTCTCTTTCTAAATGCCCCTAATTACTATTTTATGAAAGGATCTTGCATTTTATTATTCGTTTTGCTTTAGTCAGCTTGCTGTTTGCTGGAGGTTTGAAGACGAGATGTTTCTGCGCTATACACACACACACGTTATCTTTTATTCTTTTGTCGAGCATTGGTCTTAAACAAACGCCCCTGTGAATAGCCCTGATAAAACAATAATAGTGTATTAAATAAGACTCTCCCTCAATGCTTTCAGAGTGTTCATTCTCTCTGAGTAAGAAGACGTGATGAAAGCAGCTTTTACATAGAAATACAACAATGCAAGGTGAAGTGTTCTGATAGAGGAACAAAAACCCAAATTTGATACTATTGTATCTATTTTGTTGAAATATGTGGAAAATAGCTTTTTGGTGCATGTGACTCAAATCAGTTTAGTTTTTTGTTGTCTGAACAGCAGAACACAAGTTTAAGTTTACAGACCTGATCAAAACCATAACCAACAATTGAAATCTGATTTCATTCATTCAATTTCAAGATCTGATCCAAACCACATCCAACAATTGAAATCTGATTAAATTCGATCGTTCATTCATTCATTTATATTAATTGAATTTCAACACCTGATCCAAATCGGTCAACAATTAAAATACAATCAAAATGTTTGTTTGTTTATCTATTACATTTAGTATATTTTGTATTTGTTTTTGTTCATTTTGTTTATTTAGTTATATTTCAAGACCTCATTTATTCATACAAATTATGATCCAAATTACATTTAACGTGTTAAATATGATTACTATTTATTTATTTGAATAACCTGAATTCAAAGAATTCAAAACCTGACCCAAACTAGATCTAACAACTGAAATCTGATTAAAATTTTATTTAAATAGTGTAGCATGCAACTGTGTGCAAACACATTCATTTGTTGCTCACCCTTTTCTTTTGTAGCCAACTATGTGATATTACTCAACAGTATGGTACTTTGCTAAATTGTATTGTGCAGGATTGTATTGCACTATATAGTACTTATGTTATGTAAATATATTTCAATGACCACAGTGTTACCGCTAACAGTATGGTTTCATTAAATCTTCCTTCAAACACTTCAATTACGGTAAATTAGCGGAGTAGATCGCCCCAGTTCCCTTCGACTGGATTGTTATCTAGCGAGGTTTCAGAGCCGTCTCTGCTTTTATGGAAGGACTTAACAGCTTGAGTCTAATCAAAGACATTTTTCCCTCTGTGTTCAGGCTAAAGAAATTCAATTAGTTTAATTGGTCTGCTTATTATAAGCTGTAATGTGATGTGAGTGCCGCTGTTGTCAAACTTCACAGGCTACTTTAAACAGCCTCCTTAATTAGATGGAGAACTTTAATCTCAGTGTTTCAATTGTACAGTGAAGAGGATCTTCAAGCAATATTCTTTCTTTGCTTGCAAAGCAAACTACAAAAGTTTTTAAATAGCTCAAGTGTGGGCCTTCCTTACATACATCTATAGGTTTATTGGCAGACAGTATTGCAAGTTTTCATTACACAACTGTCTGGCATACATCATTCTCATCAAATGTTTGCACTATGACCGTATGTATCCAATTATTGTCTCAAGCAGCTGATTTCCTAGATTCATAGCTATGATTTTATGTCTCTTGTATCATTTTGTGGTTGATTTTTTTCAATTACATTTCTCATTCACATTTAATTTACATTCACATTTATTTTATTTTATTTTTTGTTTTAGAGAGCAGCCACACAATGATATGAGACGATTGAGATTTGTAGTGGTTATTTTTTTTATAAGAGTATACAAGTGTATTTTTTTTTATTTGTAATAAAGCAAAAACTATCATATGAATCCGACTCAAATCGGTTTAGTCTTTTAGTTGTCAGTAAAACAGAACAGAAGATCAAGACCTGACCTTTACAGACCTGATCGTAAATTGAAATCGGATTAAAAATGTATTTATGTATTCATTTATTACATTTTAAGATTGGATCCAAATCACATCTAACAATTAAACTCTAATAAAAATAAAAATAAACAATATTTAATGTAGTTTAGTCAGTTATGTTAGTTAATCAATATTAAGTTCTTTTTTACTAATTTACTGAAACTCAAACTTGCAGTTGTGCAGTTGTTCTGAATCTCTACACGATATTCAGTATATTCAAAACTGCACTCTGCTTGCATCATATTGCCTAAATGAACCCCTACAGGGTAAACTAATAGCCCTCTGCTTTGTTTTAGGGTCTTAATCGCTAAAATCAAGGTTAATTTTGACCGGGTGACTACCTTTATGTTAAAACACCTCCCTAATAAACACTCAGCTGTTTTTAGCTGGACTGGTGGATCTATTTCTTTCTCTCTCACCCTTTTTTCCTTTCCCCAGTCTAAAGGGGTGGAAATTTTTGAGGGGCAGTGACAACAAAATGGATGACAAATTGCACTTATGATCAATCACAGAACCGGAAGTGCAGCATGGTCTGGTGGATAGGCTAATGGAGTGGAGACCCGAAGGTTCACCACTGGCTGCTCGGCATCGACAGTTGTACCCTTGAGTGAGGCACTTAACCCAAATTGCTTCAGTAAACACTCCGTCTTAGAAATGACAGTGTATGCAAACCGGCCCATCGGCTTTCTTTACAGACAGAGAGAGAGGGGGATCTATTCTCCAAATGGCATTTTCCCTAAATTTTGGTGTACCTTGACTTTTTTTAGTGGTGTAAATTTCATGTTTGTTATTGTTAGAGAACTATTACATGTGTTTTAATCAACTATTATCTAACCTGAAGGTAACCTAGCATGAAAATCAGCTAGTTTTAAATCCATAATGTCTCTCCTTAAAATAGGGATTTTGACCAGTTCCACCTCAGGTGTCTTGATCATCTTGATTTTATCCTAAAAATAAAAACAGTAACATAATTTAGACCCATTGCGGAAGCTCATGTTCAACCATTATATCAATTATATGAATAAAATCTTTTTTTTAAAAATTTAATTCAATTTAGAATTGTACAATTGTACAGTTTAGTCAACTTTTTTTTTTTTGAGCACCTCTTTCCGCTGACCATTTGTTGAAAAACAAACCAAAGAATCTAAAGTATTTCATGTTCTATTTTGTACCCTGTTTGTGGAAAGTGGCAAATGCTTTTTGTGAAAAAACCAAGAGGACACAAAGAAAGCCACCACACAGTGCTAACACAATAAAACTGTATTACATTTGTGCTTAAAATGATTACAGTACAGTATGTACACATCCTAAAAATAAACATCTCATGCTGAATAACACATAAAAAGAAAATCCATATACAATAGCAAGCAAAAAGGAATATGGTTTTTTAAATATGTACAACCACCATATACAAATTAAGTTTGTCGTCATAATTTCTCTGGGCTATGCCCTCAGTTTCCAAAGGTAATCATAGCCCGTAAAAGGAGTATCAACGTAGTAGGCTACAGTAGTGATTTGCGCTTGCGTGTCGCCTTGAGTCGATAGTAAACAAAACCCGGTAAAGGCAAATCCTCCGACCAGGTATTCACGTGCTCCAGTAATGCCTACAGTTTATGCGACCTGATTGTGTTTAAAGAGGATTATGTCAGCTGATCAACATGGGCCGCACAAAAAAATACGAGACGACGTTCGTCACGTCTGGAGGAGATGCTTGGCGACTGAGCGGTGATTCAGTTCAGGTATAAACATGTCAGGAACAGAGCCTTGAGTTACGCGCAATGACGAAAAGCCTATTAAATAAATACAGTGAAGAAAGTAACAAACCCATCGTTTACACACGTGCCAAAATGTTCAAAGAGTTTGCGTTTGACAGCTAGGGTCTTTTAGGTATAAAACAGGGTGAGAGAAGTTTTTCAAAACATCACTAATGAAATCACACCACTTGATGTTGAAGATGTCGAAGCTCAAAGATCTGTTAGAAAGCTAACACCATGTCTTAACAAGGTGCCATTTCACGAAGTTGTCCTTAACAGTCAGGATATTTCATCTATAGCTGTAGCATTGTGCTGGGTAGCTCCGCCCACTGTGAAATCTCATTGGTTCTCGTAACTCTACATTAAACATCAAATATCTTCTGATTGGCTGTTTGTGTTTACCCAAATAGCTTGTTGCTGGAAACGCAATTAAGACACGATGAAAACGAAAAATAGAAAGGACAATGAGGAAACCCATTCAACCTGAGATCTTATGTTGACAAGGCTCCTTCTCATTCACCAATAAATACTGGATTGAGTTACGCGCAATGACGAAAAGCCTATTAAATAAATACAGTGAAGAAAGTAACAAACCCATCGTTTACACACGTGCCAAAATGTTCAAAGAGTTTGCGTTTGACAGCTAGGGTCTTTTAGGTATAAAACAGGGTGAGAGAAGTTTTTCAAAACATCACTAATGAAATCACACCACTTGATGTTGAAGATGTCGAAGCTCAAAGATCTGTTAGAAAGCTAACACCATGTCTTAACAAGGTGCCATTTCACGAAGTTGTCCTTAACAGTCAGGATATTTCATCTATAGCTGTAGCATTGTGCTGGGTAGCTCCGCCCACTGTGAAATCTCATTGGTTCTCGTAACTCTACATTAAACATCAAATATCTTCTGATTGGCTGTTTGTGTTTACCCAAATAGCTTGTTGCTGGAAACGCAATTAAGACACGATGAAAACGAAAAATAGAAAGGACAATGAGGAAACCCATTCAACCTGAGATCTTATGTTGACAAGGCTCCTTCTCATTCACCAATAAATACTGGATTTTTTTTTTTTACTATGTGGTCTTCACCCTGTAAAGCAAGTGAAATGCAATTGCGATGTGGACTTGGGGTTGTACGTTTGTGTGTGTTAAAGTTCACAAAAGTCGGGCCATTGAGATGTCTGGTCTTCATAAAGCCGTCAGGCAGCATCAGTCTTGGTCCGCCTTCGAACATTCTCCCACTTACCAAAAACGTCTATGGCTAAACTGTACAGTACACCGTCCCTTATGTGGGCTCTTCGTATATACAATGTAACGGGGACAGGGGCTGGAGAGGATACTAGTGCTTCTTATGTCTGATTGCATGTCCCCTTCAGGTCCTCTCGCAGCTCTTTCCCCTCCTGCGAGCAGCGGGGTCGTGGGGTGGTCAGCGGACCTGCGGCGCGTAGCCCTCCTTCATCAGTCCTTCCTCGTAGTCTGTCTGGCACAGGATCATGTTGTTCTTCAGGAAGAACTTGTCTCCAACGCAGAACCTGCATGGAGGCGAAACGAGAAACAGAAACATGGCGTTTACGTAGCTTGAGAGGGACGCAGAAGGACTCATTACTAGCAAAACTTGCAGGCTTCCCCACAGAGCCGCATCCTGCCCACTCAAATATTAGCGTACGTTATCCTGCGGACACGTCGCTCGGTCTGGAAAGAGTATCTCCAGAGTGCACCTAGCATCTTCTCCACCTGCAGCTGTTTCATAAATATACCCCACAGATGGAGCGCAGGCTTTAGCGCTGCCTGACGGGCCGCTGTCTCACTTGACCTTTTGGAAAGAAGATTATGTTGGTCAGGCAGAAGAGAGAGACAAAGAAGGCGGCAGAGAGGGAACGAGATCGAGCGCTCAGTGTGTTTACCCGTCCTGAGGGCCGCTTATCTTGCTCGCAGCGAGAGTTCGACAAGGTCGGAGCGCCAGCGAGAGCTTGTGTCTACTGGCCAGCGTTCCCTACCGAACCCTGCCGCCTGTGAACGAGGAGAAAGACGATGCGTTTGCGTGTCTGCTGGTCCCATTTTAACAATTAAAAGTTAGTTTGGGGAATGCAACATTAGGCAAATGTTAAAGAAATAGTCTGGGTTCATTCCGAGTTAAAGTCAGCAATGGAAATGGAAAATCTATTTTCTAAATGCATGTTTTTGATCTTATTGTGAATTGGCCAGCAATGCATGTTTCATTTTTTAAAATTAGTTTTGACCTCATAATTTTTCTAAATATCATGCTTCAATTTACTGGTGAATTGATAGACATTCTCTCTGGTGACTTGTTCCAGACGTCTCCAATCATTTCGTCTGCACACACTTAGGAAAAAAAGGTACCTTATTTATCCCTAAAGTGTGCATGTAAGTACATTAAAAACCTAAAGGACATTAAAGGAAAGTACATTAAAGAATCTGGTATATAGTACATTTTTAAAGACCCAGAAACAGGTTTCGTACTTTGCCAAAACACTGTCACTTTCTTATAATCGACTGCCAGCTTGCATTCAGATCTGCCTTCATCCAATCAAAACCAGTGGTCTGAACCAAGTTCCGGCCCTATATACTGTGTGTGTGTATATATATATATATATATATATATATATATATATATGACCCGTGCTGTCAAAATGAGTTGGAATGCTCACGGGCTAATTTTGAGCTATAGACAAAAAAAGTGAAAAATTTTGATTTTGGTCAAATTTCAGCTTTTTACAAAAATGAGTTCATTAAGCCCTCGTCTAGCAATCCCAATGCTCCAAATAGTAATTAAACATCTAAAATGGTCTTTATTTGTATGTTTTCTAAGAGGAGTACCTTTTTCTCTGCTCGTTTGCTCGCTTGTCTATTATATATATATATATATATAACAACGACTTTGTTTGAGAGCTTTGTGGATAAGAAAATAATTTAGACTTTGTTTTCCATTGTTTTCTTTAAAAAAAGCAAAAATCGAGGTTACAGTGAAGCACTTACAATGGAAGTGAATGGTGCCAATTGATAGTCCACTTTATACATTCTACTAACTATAAGTAACTTTGCACCTACATGTCAAATGCTACTCATTAGAGTATTACTAGACTGTCTGCTTAATATCTGCTAACACTTTATTTCAATAGTCTGCCAACAGACTTTCTACCATCTGTAAGTAACTTTGCAACTACGTCAACTTATTCTACTAACCCTAACTGTAACCGAACAGTCTACTAATACTCTAATGAGAGTTAGTTGACATGTAATGGCAAATTTATGAGAGTTAGTTGACACGTAGTTGTCTAGAATGTCTAAAGTGGACTATCGAAATAAAATGCAACCTAAGAATTTGTGCAGGATTTAAAAGCAGAAATGTGAACCTAACTTTATAAAAGCACTTATTAATTCTTGTTAAGACGTGCACTATTTAACCTGTAATTATGTTAAATGATCATTTTTAAAGTCATTTTAGAGTTTTAGGCTGCACATTTTCATGGTAACAATGTTTTAAATTTGATCTTTACACGAAAGATTAGATTTTTTTTTTAACTCAGTGCTTCACTGTGACTCAAATTTTTTGGCTTTTTTATTGGGGGAACACTAATTTTTGTGGTTATCAGAATCAGAATCAGAATCAGAAAGAGCTTTATTGCCAAGTATGTTTGCACATACAAGGAATTTGTTATAGTGTCACAAGCTTCCAGTACACTGAGACAACAACAACACACAGATAATAAAAGTGAGATGTGAATAAAATACACATGCATAAATATAAACCACAAAAAAAAAGAATAAATTGTATGTACAGGTGTGCTATAGATGGAATAGGAATATAATAAAATAAAATAAGTTGTAGGGATGTACTAGGGTTTAGGGTGATAAATAAGTATAAGGTTATTGCACATACTGTACTTTAATTGCACAATGGGAGAACATTAACTGTTCATGAGGTAGATTGCCTGGGGAAAGAAACTGTTCTTGTGCCTGGCTGTCCTGGTATTCGGTGCTCTGTAACGCCGACCAGATGGCAAAAGTTCAAAAAGGAGATGGCTTGGATGTGATGGATCCAGAGTGATTTTCTGAGCCCTTTTCCTCACTCTGGATGTATACAGTTCTTGGAGGGTAGGCAGGGGGGCACCAATAATCCTTTCAGCAGTCCGAACCGTTCTCTGTAGTCTTCTGATGTCTGATTTTGTAGCTGAACCAAACCAGACAGTTATTGAAGTGACAGTATATCAACAGTATGTCTAATTTGTATTGAACATACAATATTCCTTCAAACATCCTCAGGAGGGGTTGAATAAGATCTAAGAGCCATTACCCTTTCCATTGTTGAATACAATGAGCAAGTGCTAGGATACTTTTTAAACGGCTTCCTTCTTCCCTCCCTCGCACACACACCCCGGCAAACTTTTTTTTATTCGTTATACACAGCAATGTCAAGCGGGAAGGCGCAGCCATTAGTTTGGACCAAGTATCAACAAGTAATATCCATTAATCGCGCTTGTTGACACGGTGATTAACACAAAGCAGAGGTGTGCTTAATGTAATGGTGTCATTCACTCCAATAAAAACGTCCTGTTTAAATGACACATTCTTGCCAGGAATCCATTAGTGTCTGTCTTCTCTGACATCCTGGCCCTCTCCACCTCCTCTTCTGAGCACCTCCATCTCGCTCGTTCGTTCTCTCGCTTTCTCGGCTAATAGGATCTCTCTGTGTTTATTTACAGCCTGTGTTTTCTGTTCCCTCTTAGCCTCGTCGCCGCCCCGTTTCGCAGCGCCAAATTGTTTCTGCTTGGTGAAATGTCAACAGCTTTTGTGACATCTGTGTGCCAATTATGACGAGGATATTGCAGTCAGCCCATCAGAGGTAGCGGTAATAAATGCCCTTGCGCTGCCCTCCGTTTTTCTGCTCGTGCAGTCATTACCGATCGCCACATGTTTCCGAGCACCTACATTACCCTTAGCTTGATGCGTCCCCCTCGCCCTCCCCCTTCAATCTCTCATCCCAGATGAGTTCAACTTCAGATTGCTTTAATTGCTTTTTAGTATTTCCCATCAAGTGGAGGAGAAAAAAGTGAATGCATTTGATATAGTGTTTGCTCGGGTATGACCATAAATGTGGGGCTTTTTATGTTTTTTTTTCTAAGGCTGCCATTTTAACACATTAATTGAATGTGATTAATTATAAAGAAAATAATGTGATAAAAATGAACGTAATTCGTTTAATGGATTTTTTTTATGTAAATTACATTTACAAAATAGTAGCAGAGCATTGTAAGTAATTTTTTAAAAAAAAAAAAAAAAAAAAAAAAAAAAAATATATATATATATATTTAAATTGGTAACTCTTTGCAACAAGGTTAAATTAGCTAACATCAGTTAATGCATTAAATATCATGATCTAACAATGACTTCTACAGCATTCATTGTGATTTACTGGATTTTGGTGTGGTCGTTTTTTTTTCTTTGTGAGTATGAATTAACAATAGTATATTTAGAAATTAACATTAACCTAGTTTAATAAATGCTGTAAAAATGTTCATGATACTTAATGCATTAACAAATTGAACCTTCTTGTAAAATTTTCTGGGTTTTTTTCCAACCATTTGATCAATTTAAGAAGTACAACCTTATTTTTTGCATAATGTCTTCCCTATGTTTTTGTGCAATTATAGCTGACCATATGAAACTTTCCTTTACCGAACTAATTAAACGATTTAAAAACGTGCCAAAAAATTGTGTAAATGGCCCCTCAATGACTATTAAAAGTGTTCGGCTGTCACAATAATGATTTTCATAAATTAATAATTTATATCAATTTAAAAATATTATTTAATTACAACAATTCATGAATAAATAATATTTTCAAGATTGAGAAAATAAAAATAACATTATTAGAAGAAATTAAATCAAAGTCTTTGAATTCTCTTAATTTTCTAAGCAAATCGTTTATAGATATATGCAATTAAATGCAATTTTATCTTATGAATTAATCAGAATATCCTTCTAATTAAATCAGTTACATTTTTTATTGATTGACAGCTCGATTTTTCTTAATTAACAATAGCTTTACATTCTTCTAGTCTTTCGGTTATATTCCCGTTCTTTCATTTCTTCGTCGTTCCCTCTCTCCTTTTCCTCAGGTGTGACAGTAATGATGAATATGTCTATTGAGACCCATCTTGTTAAAGAAAAGATGGCTTCCAAGGCAGTGGACTTAATGATGTATGGCTTCGTCAGCTATTTGCCTCTGAGGTCTGTGTTAACTAGAGTAGTAACATTCCTCTTCTGTGAAATAACATGCTGGAGTGGAGGATAGAGGACTTGAAAGAGTGAGGGAAAAGAGAGAGGAAATGAATCACGGAGGGAGGTCTATAGACGGAGAGAAGAAAGTCATCGGATGTGAACAAGACATTATCCGACAGAATAGAGTAGATCTGCCGCAGTGTCTGCAATGCAACCGCATGGTTTCCTCTAATGAATGACGTCTAGAACTGAGGTTTGCAGACGTCTCTGAGGGGACGAGATCGCCGTC